TTTATTAACCTATTTAAGTGCTAGTGTGGGAATGTGGTCTTTTTTTGTTGTTTTTAATTGCATGCTTTTTTTGCCATTTGGTAGTGCTGTGTTGCATGTATTTTGAGTTTTGTTTTATTTATAAAGCCCTGAGTTTACTTTATGTTGGCCACGCCCTCTACCAAGCATCCCCACAGACCTGGGGCCTCATGTACAAAGCGTGTGTACGCACAAAAACGAGAGACGAGACGAAACGAGATAAAAGTGCAATTTGTAGCAACGGCCAGTTTTCCTGATGTAATCGGAGCTATCGACTGCACACACATTGCCATAAAGGCACCATCTCAAGATACATTTGTTTATGCAAACAGGAGGCATTTTTGTTAAATCAATGTACAGATCATCTGTGATGCGCAAATACAATTAAGTAACATTGTTGCGAGGCGGCCTTGATAAAAACACATTCTGACCAACAGCATGGTTGGGAACAGGCTACAAGCTGGCACGGTGCGGGATGGGTGACTTCTTGGTGAGTAAGTCATTTAATTGTCCTAATATTAATCCCCCCGACATGCGTTAATGTGTTTGTCCCGTACGGGCATCAGCAGCTGGCTGTTGCGGCGGACCAGAGGATCAGCTGACGCCGGGGAGGCTGGAGTAATCCCGTGGGTCTGTGATACGGGTGGGACTGCGTCTCACAGTCTTCTCTTGCCTCATTGTCTGTTGGAAAATAATAAATTGAGTAATTTGACATGAGACAAAGTTTTGATTTCATCTTTGATATCCTGGCATGATTACGCAGGAACCTGTATCTTGTTTGGCTGCGAGCAGATTATTGTATGACCCGTATAGTGAATAAATCTGTGAGTTACACAATATATATTTACCTTGGGGTGATCTGAGTGACCTACGTGTGCTCCCACCACCCCTGTGACAGCAGTGTCACCCACAATAGCGGCGACTCTCCACTCAAACAGGCTTGTTACTGCTATCTGATCTTGCAGAGAGGGGAATCCCACCTGTTGGCCCTGTTTACAGTAATTTGCATGTTTAAATTGGGGGCGTGGAGAGGGTAGAGTCTGGTACTCCAAAATGTGCAGTAAATTCCACGCTGAGTGGGATGCACAAAAGAAATGTGCTTGGATTCAGGTGTACTCTCACTTTTGTTCATCTGGATTTTTTGTGCATACGCAGTTTTCAGGATTGAAGCGTATACCAGTTTCAGTATGAAATCCATGCCAGTCGTTGTACATGAGGCCCCTGGACATTGAGCGCACCTGCACCTAAATTGCAGCAGTAGCGCGAAGCACAATCAATATAAAAGGGCACAGCCGGTGGACACGGCAGCGAGGACGTGCAGAGAGCAGAGTGCGGAGCGCAGAGCGTGAGGACGTTGTCAGAGCAGCTGACGAAACGTGGAAACAATGGGCCTGAGAATGCGCGGAGAGCAACAGAGAGGGTGAGCAAAGTGTGACCAGTTTGATGTAGGTCGTGTGCTCTATGAAGAATTGATGGAGTCACTCACATTGACTGTAGTCATTTATTGCACTTTCCTGCATTTGCATATGTAACAAACAACAGGGTATAATGGTGACCTCAAGGTACCAGCATGAACAGCAGCCTCGTATAATTCCCTCGTCGCTGTGAAGGAATTTATATACTGCACTTATAAATAAATGTACTTTTTACCTGACATGAAAAAATGAATGAAATGAAAAATACTTTATTCATCCCAGAAGGGAAATTCAATCCTGTAAAAGCTCACCTTTCTTTTTTTTTTTTTTTAAATCAATATAACATATATTATATACAAGAATAATAATCATTCGGTCAGTTGGATTTGTTTTTTAAAGTGATGGCTGTTGGTAGGAAGGAACATGGTATCCTTGTGTGATCGTAAAGTGTGTGTGTGTGTGTGTGTGTTTTTTTTTTTTTAACAGTATTAAAAGACTAACAATATAAAAACAATAAAACATTGGTTTTTATGAACCACAAAATTCATAACTTATGGTGCAGTGCAACATACCTGCATATGTAACAAACAACAGGGCATAATGGTGACCTCAAGGTAACAGCATGAACAGCAGCCTGTAGACAGTGCAATGTTAACAGTCAGCTAGCACATATTAGCGATCTTTGAAAAGCAATAGAACCCACAAAAACGGAGGCTAAACTTTACAAAAACATGGCAAAATTAACGTTAAGAATATAATTAATAACTTAGGTACAGTCATCTCAATTCGCATGTGCATTTTTAGTAACTTAAGTATACACTCTCACAGGTGATTCAGACATGTTACCTCGTATAATTCGCTCATCGCTGTGAAGGAATTACCCACAATGCTTTGCCACATCTACCCTGAGACAGAACCGCAGTTACACTTTTAGAACATTAGAGCCGTGTCAGTCTGAGACCAAGTACTGTCCCAATTCTAAGTACATATCTGACCAAGTACGGATGAAATGCCTGGATGTGTTCTTGCTCCGCCCACATTATCGAGTCTGCATCAGACTGGACTTGTGTAGACTTCAGACAGCCAAGTATCCCAGAATGCATTTCGCACCACCCAGCGGCAAAAGCCGAGGAGAAAACTTTCAACGGTAACACAGGTGTTTTTGTAAATACTATTGTTATTGTGACACAAACTGTAGTTTTATGATTATTTGAGGCGAGAAAGTAGTGGTTTAAATGCCAAATATGTGGTCACTTTATCTGCTTAAAATTTTGCTCAGACGATTTCGGAGATGTGAGTGTCCCAGTTTGGCAGCTGTGTCAGCGCTCACAGTAGCCACCGACAGCCACCTGATGTCGGCAAGACTTTCTGAAGTGTGCCGTTGGCTCTCATAGCAGTTAAACAGGGATATACGTAGTTTAGCAGTCACACTGTGTCCTCACAGTGTAATTTGTTTATTGCTCACAATCGATTTAAAATTAGTTAAAGTTAATGTTGGAACTTTATATTTTTATTTAGTGTTGTACTCGATTGCTGCCTCAGTATGTCTGAATTATTTTCTTGCTTTCATTACCTGTAGTACAGCCTGGTTCTTTTCCTATGACTGTGACTGCATTAAAAATAACATTTAAGCAATGTTTTAGTTTAGGGCCAGCTGGATAAATGTCCTCCTGACTGCTAGGAGACTCCCCAGAAAAATGAGCAGGTCCATCCTGGACCTTCTGACGGAGCATCTTCAGCAGCATGAGGCTGTTTCCAGCTCCACTTAAGAACATCAGGAGGAGGAGAGGCACAACGTTTTTCATCTGTGATATGTTTTGTAAGAGACTTTTGTCCTGTTATAAAAAAAATCTTATAAAAATTACCCTGTTTATTAAGTGTTATATTTATTATATATATTTCTTGTCTATTTAAGTATTTTTGCAATTAAAAATTTAACTGTATTCTAAATATGAATGGTCTGATATGAATTGCTAAGGCCACAATTACATTTTCCTCCAACATCTGACCTGTTGATCAGACACTGCTGTCAACAAATTAACGGCTTCAACAAAGATTGTATAACGGCCTTAGAAACCTCAACATGTATACATATTATTTATATATATATGTAGCCCGCCTGTCCCTGCGCTGTGGAGTGCAGAAGCGATGTAGCCCGCCTGTCCCTGCGCTGCAGTCCGCCTGTCCCTGCGCTGCTCTGCTACCGGTAACCTCCGCGTTGTGTGTGGGAAAAAAAAGGAAACAAGTTTGGACGAACCGGTGGTCATGGAGTTTATTGCCACATCAACAATGTCCTCAGCGGTGCCGAGCCGACCTCCTTAAA